ATGAACCTGATACATTTTGAGATGCAATTTCAGAAACAAAACTTAGACATCAATTGGAAATCTAATATACCTCATTTTTATTGTAAATTACTTTTTCTTTTGACATATTCTTCTCAAAAATAGATTTGAAGCACTCTTGTGTTTGTAAGTATATAATATAATTTAATATCGTTGGATAAAATTAATTTTTTTTGACGTAACATTTGACATTCACAGAACTTAGCTTATAATATTTATCAATTAATAAGTCGGTTTCTGAAAATAATTAATCATCTTATCGTGAATTTTGCAAGTTCATGCTTTTAGATTTCTGCAGTCAATGACATCTTTTCGCCAGAAAATAAAACGAATAATTCACTCAAACGGCTTTGACCTCTAGCGTTCAAGAAAACACATCACATAAACCAATATTACTGTAATTCACCGTAAATTATTGCATACATATCGTCACATCGTCCCTGGAAAACATACGATCTACTTGAAATAATTAAATTATTTGTTGAAATGGTGGATATTTATTAAATACTTGAAGGGTTTTTTGTTTCTTCGCAGAAATCCAGTAACTATGCAGGTCAACATAAAAAATCAATTAGCGAGATGCAGAAATGATAGTCACAAATGTAAGACAATTTACATAACGAACATTCTTCCTGCATAATATTTTGTTATTAGTCCCAATTTTAATTCGTAAAACAGTTACCATAAACACCACTCGATATTCTGAGTTTCTCAGATAAAGTTGCTGCCACATCAGATAAAAAACCTCTTAGTACCTGTAATAACATTTTGCTATAGAGTGAATTAATGAAATCTATTTGCTTTTAGGGACACAAAGCCCAATAGCTAATAAATAGCTAATACATTTTAGAAATGATTCAATCAAATTTGTCAGTAGAAGTATGTGAATGTAGTTTCAGTCTTCATGACGTTTTGGTTTTTATTCTACACTTGTAACGAACATTCCGTAGTATTGAAGGGTGTTTTGCATCGAATAATATCAAATTTCGTAATTTTTCAATCAATTCAAAATGTCAAAAATGATTTTCAAAGTGATCTTCTGAAAGTTAGTGAAAGTAGAAAACGAATGACAGATTTTAAGAAAACGTTAGAAAGAAGTTTAATATAGACGAAAGTTTGGGATATGCTTTTTTAAAGTACCTACTTTTTTGTGTTTTTTCCAATATCCAATTTTTAATACGTCGTTTGATAATATCTTTCATGTCTACGGGCTGGACTGATAACGTAAGGTAATCAGGGTTCGTTGTATTTGTTTGTATTGATAGACAATTTTAGAAACACTATACTCCCCCATTGTGTCACATAACGACAAATCATATTATTTCTGCTGAATCTGTAAAACGTACTTTTATTTCAAAAGCCTAAAGTTGAAAAATGCATTTTCGTAATTATCAACTACATCATATATTTAAAAGATTATCGATAGTCAAGAAATATTCAATATATGTCGGTAAGGTTTTGTCTGTTATATTTCCTTTGACTTTTAAAAAACAGAAATGAATACTTGCGTTAAATACATAAGGGTATATTATAAACTACCAACAAATTCTTAATTGATTACTAGATAAACGAAATTTGATTTTTTAAAGTATGAAAATAAAAATCACGTGTACAACGAACTTCAAATACGTGAAAAATATAATTCCTTTATGTCATTGAAGATCGTGCAGCTTACGAAAAATGCGTATGTGACCTTCTCAAGGCGAAATTTTGTTTCGAAAAAAGAGCATCACCATTCTCCAGACTCTCACCTCCTATCGATGCAGACAACGACCTTTTAAAACCCACACCGCCCGAGGCGAGTTAAATTGATATATGGGAGTTTTCAACTTTATTTGTACTGGCATGATCTGCCATTATAAGTCCATCTTTTTATATTATAAGGTCAACCAAAGCCCTGAGGGGATTCGGGAGCCCAATCAATAAATTGATGGACCCAGTCACGCGGTGGAGAAAGAGCATCCGGGGGTGCCGGGGAGGGGAAGGGGTCGGGGCGGGGGTGGTGACGTGGGTGTGGAGGCGCGGCGCAGACGAAGGGGCGGCGGGGGAGGGGTAGCGGAGACGGGAAATCGATGTGGGTTATCATTGACTGCATCAGGCGCGGGTGCTGTCTCTGGCATGATGAATGTTTCATTGGTTGTCATTAAGGGGAAAAAAAGATTACAACAGCTGACGCCCGGTGTAAAAGCGATTGTGATGCGCGTGCCCGCCTGCCGATATTGCCCGTGATAATTTTGGTGCGGAATAACACGGTAAGTGCGTTAAAAAACTACATGAAAATTTGCGCTATGCGGACCTTCCTTGCAGGCGATGCACGAGCGAAACTATCGATCACATTTTATTACGAAGAAAAATGACTGTCAATCCCAGTACGTCTATCAGTGGTTCTTGATGTTTTTTAATTAATAGGCTGGCCAAGAAAATCTCGGCACCAACATAATACATCTGTAACTAATAATTGAGGTTTTTTATTTTAACTCATATTCTACACCAGTGTGTGTAACGTCCGATTCCATTAATTTCAAGAATTGTTCAGAAAATTTTGTAATAAATTGTTGAAAGGATTGACAGGAGTGGGTCAAGGTTTGAATGGAAGAAAAAAGTGATGAGTCAAATTGGAGAGAGAATTTGTATATTTTGTATCATGTGGAAGTGTGGGTAGGGGCATTTTTTGACACATTTGAGGGTGCATGTGGTCTTCTGGTGACATTCGCAAGGTTGCAGCGGATATCTCCTGAGTCGTCGTCACAAAGTGCTTTTCATCTCTGAATGTGGAACGACGAGAATTGGGGAGTCCGGGATGATCGCAAAGCGAAACGTGTATGGAAGAGGAGACGATGATAGAAGCAGAAGATTCAAAAGAGGGAGGCTGAACATCACGAGCGCGTGCGGCGAACACCCCCACCCACCTACCCACCCACCCACCCTCTCACACTCACACACATACACACACATTCACACGCACGTATGTCCATTCGCTTGCTGGTGGGCGTGCATTCGCCGGGGCACTTACCAGCCAGCAGCAAAGCGACAACCACCAGCCCGATGGCGACGGTCGCCCCTGCTCCTCTCACCCACAGCATGCCCATCGCGACGACAACGCACCACCGACCACTACCACCTCACCGCCACTACCACCACCACCACTGACACCGCAACCGCCCCGGGGAGGTCCTTCTCTCTTGCGCGCTCGCAACCACCGGACTAGATTCAAAACCGAAAGAGAAAAAAAAACAAAAAAAAATAATTCGAGGTGGAGAACCGCGAGATGGAATTTAAAAAAATATATATCAAACCGCCCTGCGGGATGGTACGCGGCGATACCGACAGGTCTGTCACTGGATCGCGGGGACGGTCACGTCGTCCGAAGCTAGCATAGCGTGCACGACACGCGCGCCCGACACGCGACCTTACGCGTCCCGCGGTTCACCCCGCACTGGCGTCACGACGCGGCGCGGCCCTCGCCGCCGCCACCGCCGCCGACGCTGGCGCTCCCGCGGCCGCCCGCGCAACCTCCTCCGGGCGGCGCGGAACGGCGCGGCGGGCACCGCTACACCTCCGCCGCGGTCGACCCTTCTTCTTCTTCTTCTTCTTTCTCGCGACAGCGGCGGCTGTCCCGTATTGTTTACAACACGGGGCGCGGCTTTTCTTTCACGCAAATGCATATAAAGTATCCGCGCGGGCCACGAAAACAAGATCATTTGCGCCCCGTGTCGTATTTTGCAGCTGTCGGCGCTGCCCGCGCCGTGTTGCCCTCGTCCTGGGCTGCGCTGCAGTCGGGAAGATGGACGGGTCGCGGCGACGGCGTAGCCTTTTCAATTATGGAAATGTTAATGTGTTTCCGGGAGAGGTCGTTTTTCCGAGCGCTTCATCGCCCTATTTTTGCTTCGTCGTCTTTGTTCCGAGCGCGGTGGACCTTTTCACCTTTCACGAGCTTTTTGTTTGCCGTCGATGTTGACTACTGCACGAAAATATCTCGCTTTGGGTAGAGACTTAGTTCAGATACGTCCGTAAACGTATTTGGCTGAGATTACTTGTATTCAAACAAGCGTTGTTTTGTGGATTTATTGTGTAAGATCCAAGAAGGTGTTGATTTAATTGAATATTAAAAGTAATATGTTTTCTCTGATTTTGAATAAAATGTTTATAATAAATTATTACATTAATTAAGTATATTAAAATCATATATTGAAACATGTAGTATTTTAAAACATATCTCTGCAATTGCTATTATATTTGTTTACTGGCTTTTCAATTTAGACATCCCATAAGCGACACCTTCTCCGTTGTTATTATTAAACATAGCGATGAAATTATTTGTGGTTGTTTTTTGTTTCTGAAACGGTTTAAGAGATTGTAGAGAGCATTGTAGTGCCTACAAAAGAAGTTTTTAACTATATTTTAGAGTTCCCATTTCGAATCCCAATGTTGAAAATAAAATGGTCATACTATTTATTGTTGTATTTTTTAAAATATAATATTATTTCATGTGTTCTATGGAATTTGTGCCCTTCTGCTCCCATCAGTGAACATGAAACTTTAATCTCTCTCTTATGTAAGGAATCATCAGAAATCTCAAAAATAATATTTTTAAAAATCTGTTTGTTCGTTTCTTTCTAAGTATTTTATAATTTTTAAAATGAAATAAATATAAGTATTTCCAATGCCAATGTAATACAAAATGTATAACAAGTTGGGACCGTCAATTATTAATATACGATAAGCATTCATATCATAGATAACATCGCGCTGTAGAATATTACTTTGCCTCCACACGATTGCAATTACGCCACTTGCTAACGAAAATAGTACTACAATAAATAATACTCAAGCCATTCAACTCAATGTTTAAATGGATTTTTATTCTTTGGCCAAGATAGGAAATAATATTTAATAGGACCATATTTTTGTTCACGTTCTTCCGCAGAAGAATCCGAAAAAATCTGGCGTGGGTTAAAACTAGGAATTTTGTTTTTTGTAGACGTACTGTATCAGTGTCACCGCCCTTCCGTTGGTGAATATACTTGATGCACGACACAAAATAATCTCTGTGATGCGAGAAAATATGCCAGTGTCAACGTAATCTAATCGGTTGTAATTATTGTATATTGTTTTAAATGGATGTATCTTTATTGTTATAGGACAACAAACATCGTAAGTGAGATGAAGATCGTGCATGTTGAAAATTTCGCTTCACAGCTCGTAGCTCGAATATGTTAAGGTGAGTATTAAATTTTGAGTAAACGTAAAAGTGGCCCTTTGATAAATGTACTGGAGTCGGCGTACTTTAAATGAGAATGACTATTTATCTGTTTTTAATACTATACATTTTTTTAATTTTCTGAGAAAAATAACGTTATGATCATTTAACTCGCATATTTATTTATTTGTTTATTTACTTATCTTTATTTTTATATTTAATATTCCTTCACAAACTGACACTGATGAATCCTACCGTCTAGGTTGGAAATTCTAATGTTCTTCTCGCATATGTTGGCGCGACGATCCAGTCTAGAATAACATTAACGCATGACAGTGAGATAGCTTTTTAGTAAGTATAATGTGTTCAAAATTTCAAATATTCATAAGACGCAAAGCTCTTCAGGGGTCCAAAATTTATGACATAACGTGTATGAAACGTCTTTTGAAACCCAAATTGTTTTTATTCGGTGGTAAAATAATATCGTTGTAAACACTTCACACAATCATACTTTTTCTTCTCATTCTTCCACCGATGAACACGATTGATTGATTATTCCGGGTATGTCAACTGCTATGATTTTTGTTTCCATTAGTGTAGTTAAAGTTTTTTCCCTAAAAAATGGCGGTATTTTCCTCCCCGCTGGATGGTGAGATCCGACACCAACATAATCGTTGGCTTACCACATCCAGGTAACCCCTACCAGAGAGGCACTCTTCGCTCCAAACTGATCTCCGGACGTGTTTGGTAGTGTAGTACATATAGTGAGAGAGAGAGAGAAGGGAGATGTTAAGGAAGAGAACGAAAAGATGGTTTGCTGGCTGTAGCCCGTTTGTTAGGGCACTGCTCCAGCATTCGCCTAATGCTGATCGAAGAAATTACCGAAATCAGCCGATCTGAACAACCTGCCGCTAGAGGTCTCATCCAGACAGCAAGCGGCAGGATCCGACCTAGCTCTCTGCCACATTCAAAAACACGGCACCGTCGGAACTGGAATCCTAAGTCCTCCCGGTCCGACTCGCCCCACTAAACACGAAAAGAATCTCGCGCGCGTGGGGTAAACATTTCGGGTAAAGCCGGGGTCAACGCGCGCGCGCGTATAAAGTAACTCAAAAAAGCTCCGCGCGACGGCGCTGCGCCGCGCTGCCCAATTTCGCCGCCGGCCGTGTTACGCGAGTCGCGCGCGAGTTCGCGTTCGGGCGTGCTGCGCTCTAGCGGGGCACTCGGATTCCAATCTTCGAGCTCCGGAGCATTCGTTTACAAGCAGGGAAAAACGCCCTCCCCGGCGCCGCCCCGGTAATTGGATTAGAGTTACTCAAGTTTCCTTAAAGCAGATAAAGGAAATGGGTTTATGGACAATAAATATCATCTTTTAGCTCGGTAGTAAAGTGTAAATGTTTCCCTGAAGAAATATAATGCACCCTTGCGACCCCGTGGAGGCCGTTGAAAAAGAAAGACGGGGAGGGCCGTGCTCCCGTTCCCCGTTTCAAGGAGGCGGAATGCTTAATGTGCTGGGATGATGGTTCTGGAATATTAAGCGACAAACAAGAGTAATGTTATATGCGGACTTTCAGAGGTGTAAAATCGAGGTTATTTATTGCGCTGAATTTACGGAATATTGCCGTATTTGGTTGGACCAGATAATGCTTAGAAATCCAGATGTCATTTTCTTTCCTTTGGTGTACACTTTCTTGCCAATTGAGTTCGAGATATTTTAACGCGTTTTGTTCTTATCAGATGCATAATTATCGTGCGTCAAAGAGTTCTTTCAGATTTCTGGGATATCAAACAACGGCCTTAAATGGCGTAAAATGTAATTTACTGTTATCGTTCTTTGGGAAAATAGACTTAGTTTACAAACGTGACACAGGTTAAGCAAAGCATACACTACAAAACGTATTAACTCAGTTGCGAATACGACTTCCTAACAGCTATTAACTGGCATGAGCTTTAATATTCCTTCAATTCTGTATACGTATAATACTTCAAATAACTTCTTTGAAGTGAACATATATATTGTTTTAACTGAATTAACAGAGAAACTTAACTGCACGTGTTGATGTTGTAGGAAGAATTTGAAATTTTGTAGGGGGAAATTATCAACAATTGCGATTGCGAACTCTACCAAAATAATTATTATTTCTTGTGTGTTTGTTGAAACAATGCCTACAGAATCCTTATTATATTTAGTATCTTACATGAGCTTGCTATATTGTTCGCTTTTTTTATATTATATACTTTTCTTGTTCGATATAAAAATGTTTTTCAAGGGTTTGACGGTATTTTAGATAAATTACATTAATTTGGTGGTATATTATAAACATAATTAAACATTCAACATAATTAACAGTCTTCGAGGGACTTCCAGGTAGAGGCCTCTGAACAGTTATTTTGATGTTTGTGATTTGTTACTATTCAGCTAATCAGAGGAATTAAGGAGGATATAATAAATATTTCGAATGATGAGATTTAATTTGGGGTAAAGGGCAAGCTTAATTTCTTGTTTAATTAATCCACGTAAAATCATCCAAGTACAACACAGTAGAAAAGAGAATAGTGCTATTCTGCAAATTTTTGTTTGCGGGGTTGAGTGAAGTAGTGCATTAACGGAGGGACCGGAAATAATGTGTGAACGTAAATGTTCAGGGATTTTCGAGCTAAAGCTTCTTAATTTTAGAACTGCTCGCTGCCGCGCTGCCGTAGGACATTTTTTCTGAGATGACGTTTGTACTTTATTTTTAACTCCTCGCTGTTACTCAAGAAGAGTTATTTCTAAACAAAGAAACATGTTCTCTTTACTTCTTTTACCGCCTTTCAGAATTTTTAAAGAATACATCCTCTCAAAAATATCCAAGTTTTGTTTCCTCTGGAGCAAACTTGTTGTAACATCTTTTCTATGCTGTTTTTAAGAGTAGGTAATGAATTTAAATGAAAAGTAATTTGAGAGTCTCCCAAAAATTAGATTATAATGATTAATATGACAATTAGTCCTTATTTATTATTGTTTATTAATCTCTTTAAACATTTCAAGACTTACAGAGCTAAATATCTAATGTTTGATATTTGTATTGATAGTGAAGCCCTTAAACCACCTACAGAAGTAGTTGAGAGCTCTTGAAAGCTTTTAAAGCGTATTAATCTTTAACTCTCGAGTATTTGCGCGAATTATTTGAATACCTGAATTTGGTTACCAATTAGAGACGGTGTTAACGCGAATCGATGTATGTATTCTTTAATTCAGATGAAACAAACATTTTGGTTTGTTGAATTTACGTAAGTGTAGTAGTTTGCAAGTCATTGTTTCATAATGTTGCTTGAGGGATGTATTCACACCGCGCGAGCATCTCTGTAACTTATAAATGTTAGACAGTGCACGTGCACGACAATACTGCACTCAACCTAGTCACTACTCGAATCTCATGTGAACCGCAAAGAGTAATGATAACTAATACTATCATCAAAGTGATTTAGTTTTTGGCAGCGCTCTTAGAGAAAGCCATCGACGCCAGACGCCACAAAGAACTCTCATTGCCCAAGTGAATCTCTTGTATTGATTATTGCTGGCAGTGCTCCCAAAATCGTTACCGCCATATTGTACACGCATTGAACATATTATAATATATAAAAAAATTATTGAAATCATTATCGAAAGTATTTTCGCCAGATTTTTCTTCCAAAATAATTTGATTTTCCGATGCTGACGTAAACAAATTCTCCGCACGAGTGAACTCGTCCTAACAGGGGTCGCGAGTAACGGATTGTTAAATAGAATCCTCATCCCTTATAACCTTCCGAAAAATAGCTAATAGTTATTACAAAATTAGTATTGTTAGTCATTTATTACAGTAAGTGATTAGAAAAATGTTCAAGAATTTCGGTGGATTCCATTTTCCTTTCAATTTAGGAAGACTGGAGAATTTGTTAATCAGTCGATTACAGTACTAAGATTTTAACATACGAATATAGAAGAACATTTACCAACTTTTTAAAATTTGCTTCTTACTATAATTTTTGTTAAAATTCAAATATTTATTTTGCGAAATGTGATAAACAATTGATATTGTAAAAAATTATTTTGCACGTAATATTTACATTACTTAGCTTATGTTATAGCTTAAAATCTAGAGTTTCCTTAACCTAAGTTGCTTAATGATATTGTTATTATTTCCACCGTGACTACTATGTACATTTCCGGTTCCTCAAAGTCACATTCACATTTTCACTCTGGGCGTCCATGATGCAACACTCCATATTTAGGCTCATCACGATTCTATCGTGTTACTATGACTTTCAGACGTATACATATACGTCGGTCGTTCAGAGCATCAATTGATGCCACTGCAGTGCTTTTGAGCTGGAGGACCTGGATGTCACTGCAGTTCCTCTGGCTGGGTGGCCCAGGTTTCAAGTCCCGACGATAGCATAATTTTCGAAAGTAGCTGTATCACTAGGTCTAATAATTAGATCTAGCTACCTAGCTGGAATAAACATCCAAAAGGTGTCCATTTGGCAAAAATTGAGTTTTTCTGTTGTTTTTACCTAGAATTTTATTCCCAGGAAAGAACGTGAGATGTACTACAGTACATTAAGAAGTGCTCAATTCTTTGAGATAATGACAGTGTAGTATAGTGTAAAATTTGTGCTACATTTTTAAATTTATTAGAAAAAAATGAGAACTTGTCACGTTTCGAATGTTAGCTCCTGTTATTGCAATCAATCAGACTGCTGCCGGCAGAATTATTCTGCCGCTGTTTGCGGATGAATTTTTGCGACCGGCTGCTCGACATTCGGCAGTTTTCTGTGGTTTCTTCAATCAATACCAGATGAATACCGGAGCAGTCCCTAACAAACGAGCCTCGGGCGGCGAGCGATCTCTCCTTTCTCTTTCTTGTCCTATTCTTACCCCTTACATTCAAACACAGTTATATGTACTACATTGAAACACATGACGGGAGATT